TCTCAATATACCAGTTATTAACGTATTTGGTTTTTTTAAACATATTTTATATATATTTAAATAAACACCCTTTCCAGGAATCCTCAGTGTGAGTGTATGAGAGCTGTTATTCCTCTTTTCTTTTTCCCCATGTGAACGCATAAGACTGATTTGCTCCTAATATCCTAAGAGTCCTTTATCCGCAGGCCGGAACCCTGGTTCAAATTAAAGGAGCAGCTGCTGCTCTGAGTCCAGTCCTGTGCTGTGCAGACCTGAAACTTCAAATTAAAAAAATGTATCAAGTAAAACTCCCTTTGCACAAAATTGGCCTCTTTGAAAATAGAACGTAACTGTGGACGGTGAGACACTGACAGGCTGTTGAGTCTGGGTATGTTAAGAACAGACCATTTTTAATTTGGAGTTATGTGTAATGATTCGAGCAGGAAGTGTTAAATGAGCTTCGGTGATCCTGGAAGGATAAAAATATCAGACATATATAAAAAAACGGATTTTTAAATTAAACATTTGGTGTGAGAAAAGTCAAATAGTTTAATTTCAAAACACTGAAAATGTTAAAAATAAATCCAATCAATTCTAGGCTTCACACAGCGAAAACATATAAATCAGTCATCCTGGTTTTGTGCCAGATTGTTTGCAACTAGTATAGCTCGAATAAAACAACCTAACAATCTAACATTCCTGTGTTTGGACTCCAGCTACAGAAACACACAGCTGCTGAATTGTTATTTTAATGGCATAATTCTTAATAAAGACAGGAAGTGCAAACGGCGAATGGACGTCTCCCTGTGTGTGTGTGTGCGCATATGTAGGTCAGACTGCCTCAGATAAAGCCAACAAGTTTACACCACGAGTCAAACACCAATCGGACGCGTGCCTCTGGATTTCCTCACGCCTTATCAAAACCTGACAAAATGCGCGTTGGTCGGCACTCTACGAGTCATTTTTAATTCATAGTAAAAACAATTTACAAGTGGTTTCATCAGGGGGGCTATTTATGGTAGCGCGGAACAGGGTGCTGCGGACAAATGGTCCACTGTGACATGAGCGATGAGCCAGAGCTGCTCGGCTCGTGTGACGCTGCAGCCTCCTGCAATAAAACCAACTTTGGTTTTTAATATCATGTTGACGAGCCAAGAGCTCATTAAAGCTGGTGCAAAATAGCTGAACCTACAAATATCATTTGGTCTCAAGGTAGTATCTGTTAAACTCGAGAAAATACTAATAACTTTGAAGTGTTTGCACCTGACTTTTAAAAGTGTCAAAACATTTGTTTAAACACAGATATGAATCAGAAATCATGAGGCTGAGTCATCCCACAACGTTTCTTTTTAATCACACCAAATAAAAGGCTGCACTGTTTGAACTTCACCCTCCGTGCCTGCTGAAAGAACATCTTTACCAGGTCTGAAGCTTTATTTTTCCCTCGGCACTTTAAATAGCTGTATGCATTTTTATGCAATTTGAGACGGTGGATTTTGCAAGGACGGGTCGCCAGGCGCCAGCTGCTGTAAATGAAAACCAAATGCAATTGTTCTGTGTTTAACGCACGTTTCTCGTATCCACTGTTATTGGGAGGAAAGAGCAGCCAGTATTATTATCTTATACCTGTGTGTATAAAAACCGTGTGTGCATATAGGCGCCGCTGTGCTCGTTATATTTTATTAAAATGATCCATTTTGATTCAAATCTGGTCATTTTAAGTTGCTAACTGCAGCTGCTGAAACACGCTCCCTGACTGTTCCTGTTCACTGTAGACATGTCGACACGAGCACCCTCCTGCACAGGCACAAATGAGGGTGCAAACTGGTGATGATGTCGCCAACGGACAAAATCCTCCACTGACTCCATTAGCAATGCGGATACCCTAAAAAACACGTGTCACTTCCCCTCAGACATAAATGGTTAAAGACAAATTGAACAATATGAAATATGTGGACGTGTTTTAAATACGTACTTTTGTCACTAATGCGCGCGCAGTGGTTTTGTTAATAGCAGTTTTTGGATGCACTGTAGATGTATGTGCCAACAGTGCCCGTCTCTGGATGATTGTTTTTAAATTAAATGTTAAGGCCGCTGTAGTCTTTTACAACAAATCTATTAAAAGGCCAGACTTTATTTTGTATTCTATATAAGCAAACTACAAAGTCATTCGGGGAAAAGCTACAAATTATATAAAGCAGAAAAACTAATACCACAAGTATTATAGCTGTCTTATTGCAGTATCCTGGTTTAGGCAAATGAAAGCTCAGTATTGCATCATGACGTTGTTATGTATTCAGCCCACAGTGTAAGATATAAAGCAGTCAGTTCCACGTTTTGTCAAGTTTTTTCTAATGTTAAATTAGATTTTGTACATAGTCAGTGTATTAAGCCAAGTATTTATTTCAGAGTATTTGGTTTAAGCTTATTTATTTTAGTACATTAGTCTTGGAATAGTTTTATTTATTTAGGTTTCTTAAAAACCACCGAAGACTGTTCGTCTTTATTTGTCAAATCGTCCTTACGCACGCATTACGCACGTCCGGCTGTCTGCGTACTGGCCTCTTACCCGGACTCTGGCCTCAGTCAGGTTGGTCCACACCGCGATCTCCTCCCTGGTGCTCATGTCCGGGTAGCGGTTCCTCTGGAAAGTAGCCTCCAGCTCCTGCAGCTGCTGGCTGGTGAAGTGAG